ACTTGAAGACAGTTGTCATTTTCCCCTGAAGTGACAGATTGAGTTCATTGAGCAGGCTGAATATGTCCACAAGTAAGACAGTTTTGGCGCTCAAGTGACCGAGATGTAACCGAGAGAATGCGGTCATTTTTCAAAATAAAAGATCGTTCATACTCAGATAATAAATAAAACGGAAATAATTAATGATTGCTTGTGCGGGCCGGTACCAATTGATCCACGGACCGGTACCGGTCCGCGGCCCGGGGGTTGGGGACCACTGCTCTAAACTATTAGTTATTGGATTTATTTTAATAAATTTGTTATTTATAGGCTACTTGGGGACACTTTTGTCATTTAGTTGAGAGGACAGGTGGTTTGCTCCCCCTTCATCAATTAAACGGGTTCATCAGTGGCTCAAAACCAGAGGCCACCGGGACACCCCTCATCTCAGTCGGATTTCTTATATGGGTCGTCATTCCCCTGGTCTTTCTCCCACTCACATAGGATATGTGGGGGGGGGAAATACAAATGTCTTCACTCCTCAGCCGGTATAAGAGAAGTGAAATGTCCTTGAACCCCAGTTGACTGAAGCGGTTTCTGTCTTGAGCGAGGAACCTGATTACTGGTCACCTTGGTATTAAATAATTAATTCCTGGTTCTTGCACAAGAATAAGTTTTATGCAAAATGTTTTGACTCACTCTTGAGACCGAGTCATGGTTATTTGACTTAGTCATGCTACTGTTTCACCACCTGAGTGTTTAGTTCAATCACATTTTACGGGACTATTTGGATTTAATGATTCAAGACTTAAGGCCAATTTTGTCAAGGCTTGTCAGCCACACCTACAAGAATCTGAAGAGCAATTGCTGCAAAAGTTTGTATTGTTGGATGCCAAACTGGGACAGATTTATTTTTATTTTAGCTTATTATTTGGATGTTTTTGTATTATGATTTAATTCCTACATTCATTGATTTGGGATGGGAGAGCTGTAATTTCCAAACCTGCCAAATAAATAACAGTAACCTTTCTAGTGAAGGAATTTGTCATCTTTACAATGTACAGGAGTTAAGAGTTCTGTGTAGAACTTAATATCTGAAGTCTTCTCCACATGCTTCAGATGATGCCAGGCTTGTGTTCTTTTAAAGACTAACTTCATATTTTTCTTATGTTTTTGTCCTAAAGCTACCATGACAGACGCAGACAAGTTTCTGTATGGGGACCGCAGTGAAATCAACAACCCCCTGGCCCAGGCCGACTGGGCCTCCAAGAAGCTGGTGTGGGTCCCCTCTGAGAAGCAGGGCTTCGAGGCTGGCTCTGTCAAGGAAGAGCTTGGCGACGAGTGTGTGGTGGAGCTGACGGACTCTGGCAAGAAGGTGAAAAAGAGGAATTTCTCTTTTGGAGTTTTAATTTGTTCATCTGTCAGGATCGTGAATTGAGGTTTTCAGGATAACTTGTGGTGTTTTTCGTGTGATACGTTAATGATGGTCTAAATAGAGTATGACTTTGGTAAGGCATCGTTGCACCGAGTCCAAACTGTTCAGGAAGCCCTGGTGTCTCTAATCCTCAGGTAAAGATAAACAAGGATGACATTCAGAAGATGAACCCACCCAAGTTTAATAAAGTGGAGGACATGGCGGAGCTCACCTGTCTGAACGAGGCCTCCGTGCTGCACAACATCAAGGAGCGATACTACTCCGGACTCATCTATGTGAGTTTGGGTGGATACAGGTTTACGTCACACAATCTCATGTTCGACATCTGCCTTCATGGCGTCATTTCTACTGTGCACACTCATGGGCCTCATTGCGTTAAACCTCAGTGATGACAGTAATTATCTTCTTTTACCCAGACATACTCGGGTCTCTTTTGTGTGGTGGTCAACCCATACAAGTACCTGCCCATCTACACCGAGGACATAGTGAACATGTACAAGGGCAAGAAGAGACATGAGATGCCCCCTCACATCTACGCCATCACAGACACAGCTTACAGGAGCATGATGCAGGGTACCACAGTTGTATCTTTGTTAATCAACGCAAAGTCTTTGGCAGGATTTGGACATTATATGGTACATAGACTAGGAGTACCTATACACAGACATGTACAGAACTGCAACTAATGATTATTTACACCATCAAATAGGCACTTAAGCACATGGTTCATTACAGTTGCCAAAGCACAAGGTCTAAAAACAGTTGAAAGTCCAAAGATATTTCTTTTACTGTATAATGATGTAAACAAAGAAAAGTGACAGGTGAGCAGCTGGGTTCTTAGAATGTTTGGCCATTGTATTTTATAGAAGATGTGATTGTCAAAACTGGCAGCGTTTTCTGTTTACCTGCTCACTTTCTGCCACAGAAACTGAAGTCAGCCACCTGCCATGTTATTCTCTCCTAATTAATGAGCTGCACTTTGACATAATAGAAATGGCAGTTCACTTTGTTCCTGATCTAGATCTCTTCTTCTTCCTCTTCCTCTAACAGATCGTGAGGACCAGTCAATTCTTTGCACGTAGGTTACTCTTTTGTTGCTAGTTTCAGTAATAAAGTTTAGAAAAGCGTGCAGTAATCTCTTTACTGATCAGCCTTTTCTGCCCAGATAGTTTCCTGTACAATATGTCTGTCTGGTAATTGGAGTTGGTCTTGGATTTAGTTTTCCTGTCAAGACCCTACTGATTTAAGTCAGAACTTCTCATCAGCTGGAGTTTTTGATTATATCACATGGTCTTTATCGGCACATGCCCAATTGTCACTGAATTGTAGACATTTAAATTACCACTGTTTTCTGAGAGCTTACAATTATTGGCTAAAAGAGTGAAGAGTTTATTGTTATGTTCTTTTTTCCTACAGTGGGGAGTCGGGAGCAGGAAAAACTGAGAATACAAAGAAAGTCATTCAGTATCTTGCACACGTTGCCTCATCCTTCAAATCTAAGAAAGATCAGGTGAGTAAATTTCTGTTTCTCTTGTTCGTTCTCCTCTTCCGCTCTGGTCCTTTCCACAGATTTGTAAAAATCCCCAACGGAAACCTCTCAGTCTTTCCTCGGACATTCTCTGTTCTTCCTTCCTCCCAGTTCTTGCCTCATTTGAAGATTTCCATCTTAGTCCATCTCTGTAATGTCGTCTACCTGAATGATTTGTGTGGCGATGCTAAACATTCCTCTCTCAGGCCTTAACATGCCTGTGGTACCTGCCCTCACCTCACCTTGAGATGAAGCATAGCACAGACGTGTGTGGGTTTGTGTACTGTTATTCTTTTGTTATTTCACAACATATTTCATTAATCCTTCACTGTGATTCATCAGGGGACACCAAGATTCCTCTGCAGTTATGTAAAGTGTTTTAAAATTGTCAATGTTTTGAACACTCTCCTTTTTCACCTCTTCTCCAGGGCAGTGCAGTGTTGTCACATGTGAGTCCATAAGCATGGTATCTGTTCATGCACTACTTTACTGACATGCAATAAAAATAATTTAAATGTGGCCTGTTGCTTTAAGGAATAGTTTCATTTCTGGGAATTGAGTCAGACTGATACACTCATGTCACAGTTAATGTGAAGTCAGCAACCTGTTAGCTTAGCTGGCTCAGTCCTAAGTATCAAAATCCATAATTAAGCACCTCTAAAGCTCACTCATGAACAAAGTTTTTGTAAGCTGTACAAAAAAAACTGGAATGGGTTGGAGCACATCTCTGGTAGAACCACAGGTTGTTTTTTTTGTACTGTTTTACCTTGGGACAGAACCAGACTAGCACCTTCTGTTTCTACTATTTATGCTAAGCAAAGCTGGCTGCAGGTTTTAGCTTCACATTTAGCATGCAGATACAAGAGTGGTATCAAATTCTTAGCAAGTATGCAAAGATGTGGATTCCCTTAAATGTCAAACATTTACTCTTTTTGTATGAGGTGGATAGTTTTAATTGATTGTCCTGCTTGTTTTTCATGTTTGCGCCTGCATGGACAGGGATTGCTTTACAGGGTATTTGTGCTTGAGTGGGCTTGCTGCACTTTTGATTGTCCTGCTTGTTTTTCATGTTTGCGCCTGCATGGACAGGGATTGCTTTACAGGGTATTTGTGCTTGAGTGGGCCTGCTGCACTTTGCTACTGGTGTGTGTGTGTGTGTGTGTGTGTGTGTGTGTGTGTGTGTGTGTGTTGGAATGTGCAGAGCTATGTTTTTGCTCAAGTCTGTATGGTTGATTGGGCAACAATAGCATCCCCTGAGGTGATTTCTTTTCAATGCACAACTTGACTTGTTTCATTAAGCTCAATGAGTCATTGCACATAGCTTTGTGTTTATTTGCAATTGGAAAAATGTGCATTGCTGCAAGAAAATGCATGACTTAAAATTGTGCTTGCTTGAAGAATGTCTCGCTTATAGTTGTGATAGTTATTAGAATATTGGAGTTGATCTGACACAGTTTCCTCCCTGTCAGGGGGAACTGGAGAAACAGCTGCTACAAGCAAACCCCATCCTGGAGGCATTTGGCAACGCAAAGACCGTCAAAAACGATAACTCCTCAAGATTTGTAAGAGCCCTTTTGAAAATCTTGTTTCAATTTTTTTTTTTGTAAATGTAGATTTCATATCTAGTAATCTACAGTAAGTAGAATAAACGGTGTATTAGAAAAAAATATTTTGTTGGTTTAATGCCCACCCCCTTCACAGAAAAACACAAATGCAGAAACCATTGACCTACCAACATTGCTGTAATTTAAGCTGATTTTTGTGGGACACCAATACTTAACGTAAGAAGTTTAATGAGAAACCAGGCTTTTGGGGCCTTCAGATGTATCTCACCAGCTACAAAACACCATAGATTTTACTGCTGCATATTAAAATGTTTGGATTTGTTTTGCCTTTCAGGGAAAATTTATCAGGATCAACTTTGATGTCAATGGGCATATTGTTGGAGCCAACATTGAGACTTGTATCCTTTGTTTGTTCATCTGAGTTGTAACGCGCCCCAGGTTTACTTATAGCAGTATGAGTGAGAGCTTGACTCCTCACATTTGCTCAAGACTTTGCACCATGTAAGCATCACATAAATTGATTTCTTAAAGTATCTGGCACCTTCTATAAGTCGGGGGCTCAAGATTGGTTAACAGGCAGATGGGATTTTAATGGTCTTGATATTTTAGTGTTGGGGTTTTTTGTTTTTTTTTTGTTTTTAATTGTGCTTTGTATTGTAGTGCATGTTGCTAAGGACACGGTCACATTACCACAAAGTTGTCACCACACAAACAACCCATGGTCTTGACCCTGCTGGTAATTTAGCCTTGATTCTGTGCTGGGTTTCAAAGATCCTGTTTTTCGTTTGCTTTGACATTTGTGTGTCCTTCACTGAAACGCCGTCAGATCTGCTGGAGAAATCTCGAGCCATCAGACAAGCTAAAGAGGAGAGGACCTTCCACGCCTTCTACTACATGCTGTCAGGAGCAGGGGACAAGCTGCGCTGTGAGACACTTGTGCATCAGTCTGTGCTATGTGAATGAAAAGTTGAAGTAGAAAGTTGCAAACAAGTGTGGTTGTACTTGTCAGAACATGACTTGCAGTTCCAGAGCCCAAACAATTCTTGAGAAAAACTGACCACAGTGATTGCAGTTCCTTTTCTCAGTTCAGTTATTAATATGGCTGAAATAAAGCATAGGTGTAGAGTACTACCTTAGGTCACCTGTATTTAAGCCACGTAGACCTGAGCAGATGCATGTAAAAATCTGAGTGACCTCAACTTGACAAATACAGTTATAATCTCCTGTCTTTCACCATCTAGCTGAGTTGTGTCTGGAGGATTACAGCAAGTATCGTTTCCTGTCAAATGGGAATGTGACTATTCCTGGCCAGAAGGACAAGGACCTGTTCACTGAGACCATGGACGCTTTTCAGATCATGAGCATCCCGGAAGAGGAAACGACTGGTAGCTCTCATTTGACTGTTTTTAGCTTGTTCATAGGGCTGTGAGTAACTCCTTGATTTCACTCTCAATTGAAGGCTTTGTGTGGCATTTCAGACCTCAAGTAGCATGCTGTTTTCTCAGCGAGTTGGCATTTCTTTTAACTTGTGCATGCGCACGTGGGTGATGCGTACATGCGTCTGCCAGTAGTTTAGCACTGTTCCACTAATCACCAAGTTGCAGCAGTGGCAGGGAGGAAGAAGGCTGCAGTCTAGTAAACAATGTAGAATTTGAAATGCATTCACCACATTTGTTGGCGCTCAAGGATATACCAGTGCATGTGAGTAACACTGAGTACTTGGGGCCCCTTTTCATCTTGATCAGATTAGAAAATATTGAAATATCTTGTTCATTTCTGTCAACAATCAAGAGCCCAACTACATTCATTTCAACAAAAACTTATTCACTTTACTCTTGTATATGACAAAGCATGGAATCTTCACATTTGAGAAGCTGGAACCAGCAAATGCAACCTGCTTTTTTTTTCCTTGTCAAAATAGTTTCCTTCTAATCATTGCAGCTCATTTAAAATTTGTTTATTACATATTGTCTGATAATTCCTAATGTAAAACAATAGAATTAGTTTTTTTTTTTTTGTCAGCAGCAGACATTGACGACCTCTGTTTGATGGTCAGGTTTGTTGAAGGTGGTGTCGGCCGTGCTGCAGTTGGGGAACATGTCCTTCAAGAAGGAGCGCAACTCTGACCAGGCTTCATTACCTGACAACACTGGTATGTACGTTTACACAGACTTGCCGTCATCACCTCTGGACATATAGTCTCTCATTCCATCATTCATTTTGTACATCCTACATCATCACCCCCCATGTTTTACCCTCAGCTGCCCAGAAAGTGTGTCACCTGCTGGGCATCAATGTGACCGACTTCACACGAGCCATCCTGTCTCCCAGAATCAAGGTCTGCACACCAATCAGTGTTTGAAATTTGCTTCAAAATCTAATGGACATGCTTGGTACCTCTTATAGCCACATGGGGTGTGTGTGTGTGTGTGTGTGTGTGTGTGTGTGTTAATTGGTCAGTTGACTTCTGGTTTTGTTTCAGTCTAGCATTTGTATGTTGGTTATTGTATGGTGGTTAGTGCTGTAGCCTCATGGCCAGAAGCTCTGGGTTCAAGCCTCTGGAAACCCGTGCCTTTCTGTGCAGGGTTCAGATGTTCTCCCCATCCCTGCATGGGTTCTCTCTGTGTACTCTGGCTTCCTCCCACAGTCCAAAGACATGCCACTTAGGTTGACTGGCGACTCAAAGTTGCCCATATGAATGAATGTGGGTGTGTAGTTGTTTGTCTACATGTCAGCCCTGTGATAAACTGGTGACCCATACAGGGTGTACCCTGCCTCTTGCCCAATGTCAGCTGGGATTGGCTCCAGCCTCCCCATTTTCAGGATGAGCAGTGTAGTTAATGGATGGATGATTTGTTGAATGTGACATGAAATTAAAACTTTTTAGTGTGACATTGGAGGCTTTCTTCTTCTAGGTTGGCAGGGATTATGTCCAGAAGGCCCAGACCCAGGAGCAGGCTGAGTTTGCTGTCGAGGCTCTGGCCAAAGCCTCTTATGAGAGGATGTTCCGCTGGCTGGTGTTGAGAATTAATAAAGCTCTGGACAAGACCAAGAGACAGGGAGCGTCCTTCATTGGCATCCTGGATATTGCTGGGTTTGAGATCTTTGAGGTAAGATGTCTGTCAGACAGAATTGGTGAAATAGAAAATGTCTAAGATTAAATACTTTGGTCATTCAAGATCTTTCTGGAGCTGTTTCACAATCGCCCATAATTTTATTTAAATGTGGTTTTTTTGGGGTTTTTTTTTTTTTTGTTTTGAAGCTGTGAGCACATCCTGCATTGCATTATGGGTCAGGAAGTACCCATCAACAGCACACTTATTTTATTTCAGTTATTTTCTCATTTAACTTGTCATTTCATCAAATGACACATTGTATATTCAGTTTACTAACATTAAAAATAATATTCACATTTAAACAGCTGGAACAAGTATGTTTTTTGTAATCTGACTAACTGTTTCATTAATAATCTTCTACAGTTGAACTCGTTTGAGCAGCTGTGTATCAACTACACCAATGAGAAGCTGCAGCAGCTCTTCAACCACACAATGTTCATCCTGGAGCAGGAGGAGTACCAGAGGGAGGGCATCGAGTGGAGTTTCATCGATTTCGGCCTCGACCTGCAGCCCTGCATCGACCTCATTGAAAAGCCCGTAAGATCTCTCCCAGTTATTATTCCTCCCAAGACACCTACAAATACGTAGTATCTGACTTGATCTGGTGTAATGCTTCAGAATGAGGTTCAGTTACATTTTCGCAGAGAACACTTGACTACACACAGATGCAATTTAAAGCAGTCAGGATTCTGTTGAATTGTTTTGTGTGTCTTCACCACAGAACGGTCCACCAGGCATCTTGGCTCTGCTGGATGAAGAGTGCTGGTTCCCTAAAGCCACTGACAAAACCTTTGTGGAGAAGGTGGCTCAGGAGCTGGGAACTCACCCCAAGTTCCAGAAACCCAAGAAACTCAAGGACGATGCTGATTTCTGCGTTATTCACTATGCTGGAAAGGTCATACCTTTTAACATGGCGTTACTGTTGTTGTTGGTGAAATTGTAACTGAAAATATTTTTTCATTTTAACATTAAATGTTTAGATATACACTGTGCACACCCTGCACAATGGGGGGAAATGTAATATTGGCTCAGTAAATGAGCAGGTTCTTGTCTTTACCCCTTAACAATGTCAGTTTCCATGATGTGTTCAGGGTATAATACAGACCACTCTGCTTCACAATCTGACATAACATTAAAGCGGTTCGTAGTAGCCTCAATGTTTCAGCTCTGCAGTGTAATTGTGGCTCTCATCTGGTGCAGGTGGACTACAAAGCAGTCGAGTGGCTGATGAAAAACATGGACCCTCTGAATGAGTGTGTGGCCAGCTTGCTCAACCAGTCTACAGACAAATTTACTGCTGAGCTGTGGAGAGACAGTAAGTGCTGTGAACATCTTTTACCACTATAGGCAACTTGCAAATGGTGCTTTTGCCAAAGAAAATGGTTTTTGTACAGGATCAGCATGAAGTTAAATGCAGCATTTCAAGAAAGTAGTGTTTGATGCATCACAGTGCAAGGCATTGTTTTGTTTATAAAAAGAAAACACCAGGATAGCAGTAGGGTTATTTGTTTTGAGAAATTGAGTCATAAAGTATGCTAACAATTTAAAAAATGTATATTTTTTTTTTTTCCTGCTCCGTGTCCTCGCAGTGGACCGTATTGTTGGCCTGGATAAGGTGGCTGGAATGTCAGAGTCCATGCCTGGTGCGTTCAAGACTCGTAAGGGCATGTTCCGCACTGTGGGCCAGCTGTACAAGGAGCAGCTGAGTAACCTCATGGCCACGCTCAGGAACACCAACCCAAACTTTGTGCGTTGCATCATCCCCAACCATGAGAAGAAGGTACAGAACAAGGAAGGAGACTTCATGGCAGCTGATGCAGAAATTGATACAGGAGTGTTGGGTTAAACTACAAGTGATGGAACATTGAATATAATGTCCTACTGATGTTCACAGGCACACCTGTATAAGATGGAAATGTAACTGTTAGTGATAAAAATGAGGACTCACCCCCCCAACTATCACCATAAGGTGTCATACATAATGGTAAAAAAAAATTAGTCTTTAATTGTATTTTTGTATTTCTTCTCTCCATCAGGCTGGTAAACTGGACTCTCACCTGGTTCTGGACCAGCTGAAGTGTAATGGAGTCCTGGAGGGGATTCGCATCTGCAGACAGGGCTTCCCCAACCGCATCGTCTTCCAGGAGTTCAGACAGAGGTGACCTTTTTTCCTTTTTAGCCCCCTCACCTCAAAGGATTCCCAGAAAAAAAAAAGTATTTACATCTGACATACCCCATAAAGATGCCATCCTGGTCTAAACGTCCTACATAAGACAAAGGAAAATGGGCAAGACCAAAAGAACAACCGGTCATTCAGAGGCTATAAACATAAAACTTATACTCCAGTAACTACACATAGAAGTTATAAAGTTAATGTTAAAACCAGACCTGCCCTCCTTGGTCCACATTTAGTAAAAAAGAGCTAAACTAATCCTGCTTGTTTGTCTCAGGTATGAAATCCTCACTCCAAATGCTATTCCAAAGGCTTTCATGGATGGCAAGCAAGCCTGTGTGCTCATGGTAAGTAATGAATCTGTTTTAAAATTAAGCAGTTTGATAAAAGAAGAGGGAGGAAAAATACTCATCTCTCCCTTGTTTAAAGTATCAGGACTTGTCACTGAGTCACTCATCTCTGATCCATGTCAGATCAAAGCTCTGGAGCTGGACTCTAATCTGTACCGCATGGGCCAAAGTAAAGTGTTCTTCCGAGCCGGTGTGCTGGCCCACCTGGAGGAGGAGCGAGACATGAAGATCACTGATGTGATCATCAGCTTCCAGGCCTGGTGCAGAGGATATGTGGCCCGCAAGTACGAATCAAGTCCTTTTAACCCATTACTATGAAGATATGTCATGATCTGTAAATAATGGAAACCTTTGCCAATTTTTTTTTTCCCCACTTATCTTCTACTGCAAAAATGAATGTGAAATAAACAGTGAAGGTTGATTTTGTTTTTTTATTTCACTACAGAGCCTTTGCCAAGCGACAGCAGCAGCTGACAGCCATGAAAGTTATCCAGAGGAACTGCGCAGCTTACCTCAAACTCAGGAACTGGCAGTGGTGGAGGCTTTTCACCAAGGTCAGAGATTAATGATGGCAATTCAAGGTTGTTGTTGTTGTTGTTGTTGTTGTCACTACCCATCTGTGTAACGTAATGCCAGGACAGCAGTCGAGTTTTACTGTACTAGTGTCACGGTCATCTTATATTTTCTGAAATCTATGAATGAGAGTAGCTGGTGTAATGAGTGCTGTCCTGTTTTGAAGTATTAATTTCAATGCAACAAGCAAATAGTCCTGTCCTGTCCTGAATCACTTGCTCAGCAGCTTTAAAAGTAGTTATTTTTGTAGTATTGTTACTCTGAGACAAGCCTGGGTAAAATCCACTAATCAAACCCCAAATTAAGTGTCGGCTAAATTGTGCGGCCTGTCTGTACAATACAAACGTAACCTTCAGCATTTTAAAAAAGCTCTTGATAATTAAAAACTGGTAAATAAAGACTCAGTCATTTGCACTGATATGGAGAAGGAAAGCTATTGTGGTACTTAAACTGTACATATAGGCATATTGCTTTAATAAACAGAAGTCTAATTTCTCTTCTATGACCTTGGAGTTTCCTCCATGTTCTGCAACCACAGGTGTGTTCATTAGGTTATAGTGATGTGCACATCTCGGTTATTGTTGTACTGTTCACAGCTGTTTTGTATGCTCCACAAGGTAAACCTAGGCACAGAGCAGCATTTTTCTTTATTGATGGTCACAAGGTGTTGTCTCAGGTAAAATGAGTTTTTAGATGTAGCAGTTAAGTCAGTCGAGTTGTAAGCTCAAGTCCAATGCTCTGTGGATTTTGACACCATTGATGAGACATGAGCACTCACCATCTGCTGTAATGTAGCACTAACGATAAATAAGAGACCAAACATCATCCTCTGCTTTAATAAAGTTGTGTGGATTTTTTTCTGCTTAGGTGAAGCCTCTGCTGCAAGTGACCCGGCAGGAGGAGGAGATGATAGCCAAAGAGGAGGAGCTGGTCAAGGTGAAGGAGAGACAACTGCAGACTGAGGAGCAGCTCAAAGAATACGAAGCCAAACAGCAACAGGTAGGAATCTTAACTACAGTCAGTCCTATTTTAAATTTTCATCAAGTTTTTTTATTATGATGGCAGTCTAATTATTTATGACCAGTCTTCTTATTTGTGAGTGATGCAGCTCTGACATGTAATTCTCCAGCTTGAGCTCCACCTTGACTTTGATTCCCCTCTTCTAGCTGAATGCTGAGAAGCTGGCTCTTCAGGAGCAGCTCCAGGCAGAGACTGAGCTGTGCGCAGAGGCCGAGGAGATGAGAACCCGTCTGGCCGCCAGGAAGCAGGAGCTGGAGGAGATCCTGCATGACCTGGAGTCTCGTCTGGAGGAGGAAGAGGAGAGAGTCACCCAGCTGCAAACAGAAAGAAAGAAAATGCAGCAGAACATCACGGTCAGTAAAGTCCAGTGGGATATAGAATGTAATCTGTGGTGCAAATGGCTGTGCTTAAAGTTGCAAATCGTTTGTGCTCGTTCTCCAGGATCTGGAGCAGCAGCTGGACGAAGAGGAAGCAGCCAGACAGAAACTTCAGATGGAGAAGGTCACTACAGACGCCAAGCTGAAGAAACTAGAGGAGGATGTCATGGTGCTGGACGACCAGAACAACAAGCTCAACAAGGTCTCATGACATGTTTATTGAAACTAGTGTTCTTCAGTAGTGACCACTTTACAATCCAACTGGTATTTTAGTGACCATGAAGGTGTATGAAAGAAATGTGCAGGATAAGTGAAACAAAACTTACATGCATGTTTTTATTTTGTAAATCTCAGGAGAAGAAACTGCTAGAGGAACGGATCTCGGAGTTCACTACCAACTTGGCTGAGGAGGAAGAGAAGTCCAAAAGCCTGCAGAAACTCAAGAATAAACATGAAGCCATGATCACAGATTTAGAGGGTGAGCATCTGTTTACATTGTGTGTGGGTGGGGGGGGGGGGGGGAAACCT